TTTTCATTTTTTTTTATAATAATTATAATAAATAAAAAATATAATTGCAAACATCTCTATGATTATATACATTCTTACCATATCTGATGAAAGTATCAGTAATAGTACCTTATAAAAAGGTATAGCAATCTCTCGAATTGATGATGATGAAGGATTTCAAATATACAAATACTATAATTATTTAACCTCGCAAAATGATTCTGATTTTGATCTGAACTATAGTTTTGAAGCAACATCATTTAAAGAAGAGAATATGTACTTAATATCAGAGAAATTTTTAATCATATAAGATGGTTCAATTAATGTTACCATCATAACAAGTGTACATATCCCTCTTGATAAAGAATGTATTCCTGTAATGAAACCAACTGTACATCTTCTTGAAAGAACTGTGAATTATACACAATTATCAGAAACTGGTTACAATTTACAGATTCAAGTAAAACTATATTTATCGAAAGAACAATTTACACCATTTTTGGTAAATTTAACTCATCTTCCAGATGGAAGATTTAAAAATGCCTTAACAAAAGCAAAGAAAAATTCTACAATCCATACAATAGTGATACTTTTTGTTATAGAAAAATAACTATATTGTGAAATATTAGAATTCTAATTTATAGCTTCGAAAATGGAAACAGATAATTCTATAATAGTTCCATGAAAAAAAACAACTTCTCAAGCAATAACAAGTTCTTTTTCACCTAAATCTGCTATTGAATAAAGGATTAGTCTTATACAACAAAATATGGTAACTCAACCACCAACAGCAACTAATTCATCAGTACTAAATCCCAGAAATAAATGCAAGGCATTCACAACAAAAATTTTGAATATCTTAAAATCTTTATTATCACAAGATCAACAAATTGTTAAAAATAATAATAAATAAGTAAAGATTGATAATAATAATGAAATTGTTGATAATGATGAAGAAAACATTGAAGATGATGTATATGATAACAATGAGGATAAAAATAATGATGATGATGATAATACATCAGCAAAAATTTTAAGTGCAAAAAGAAAATCAAAAAGAAGAAAATCAAATAAATAGTTTAAAATAATAAATTAAATGTTTTATTTAGTTTAAAATAAAATTTATATTATTTATTATTAATAACAATTATTTATAAACAACTATTGTATTTAATAAAAATACTGATATTTTTAAATATTATATCTATCTAATTATTGATTATTAATGATTACTAATCTTTTATCTTTTATTATTATTAATTAAATATTATTAATCATACTAAATTAAAAAAATCTAACTAAATTAAGTCAAATATATTTAAATAAAATTTAATATAAAAAAGCCTTAAATATGTAATAATTTTAAAATATTATAAATAATATTAATTAATAAACTTTTACAAATATAAAAATTATTCTGATTATTTTTGATCATTATTTATAAGAATCTTCATCTTTCTCACAAAATTCTACTAATAACTTTCAAATCAACTCTTATAATAATGAAAGTTTATATAATTCAAATATAATATTAAATTCTAATTTACATCTTTTACAAATTAACCAAAACTTATCAAACTTAAATATTAATTCATTACCCCTATGAAAACTATCTCAACGTTTACATAAACTTTACACACACTTTCAAAATACAATCTTATATCAACACATTTGCTTACCTTATGCATATTATGCAAAATTACTATATCCTACTAAAGCTAAATGGATTCTATATAATGAAAACTACACATACCCACTTGAAGTAAACTTTTCAAATATTAACATATATTTAAAAAGTGAAGGTTCATCATGTGCTGTATGTGTATGTGAAAGTTGTAAAAACAATAAAAAGCATTATCTATGCCACAACTTCATCCTATACTTAATGTAATTGAAGCTATACCAATTACACAAAGATAACTTCTTTCTTCAGTATTCTTATACTGTTCTCTTGATAAAAATTTAGATGCAAATAAATATACAGAATATCATGCTTTGGTAGAAGATATGGAATTTTCAAAAAATATGCATTGTGACGGGTAAAATTTTAGATAGATTTGATTAGTAGAATATGAAGTCAATTTTATTGCTATGTAGATCTTTTATGAAGATCATTTTGTCCATTTTATTGCCATCGATCAATTATGTAAATCCTTAGATGTCAATTTTATTACCTTTGATAATCACGTAGATTATAGATGTCCATTTAGTTGCCAGCAGATCTGGCAATTTTATTGACACAGCAACTTTATTGCCTAGCAAAATGGCAACTTTATTTCTTTCGATATATTTAGTTTAGTTTATTTTATTATTTATTCAATATGTATAAATATCTTTGTATTTTTTTTGAGTCTCAGCACTGACAAGATATCAATCTTTTAGATACCAAACTTATATATTATATAATAAAGGAGTATAATTAACCAAGTATAAAGCTTATTCTTTGCAAACCCTTTTAAACTGTTATATATTATCTGTGATCCTTTGCATTCGTGCAATCCATTTTGTTAGTCAACTTATTATATGATATTGTATTGATTCGCTGTATTGACTTGGAGTCTCTAAAGTATAATCTCTAAAATATCTTTGAGTTATCTTTGTGTTTATTTTGTATTTATCTCATGTGTTTATTATTGAGAATAATTCTTTGACGTTATTGTGAATCCTCACCCGTGATTCCTTAAATAATTGTCTTAGTTTTATTTACCCTTTGAGATTTTATTTGAAGCTACGAAAATCAACATAACAGCATGCATTAAAATTGTATTCTAGAATATTAGAAGCATTTTTAATTAATCCAAAAAATTATGATAATAATGATAATTTCTCATGGTTTATTTCAGAATTATGTGCTACTACAAATTGGCTTAAACAATATAATAAATATTTAAAATCATTTATCAGATTACTTTTAACATCATCCTTTCTTACAGAAACATATTTAAATCCATTTCCTACAGCAGCTCATTTACCTTCTGATACAAATGCTCCATCTTTTTAAGAAGGAGATATTGTTTTACAATCAACAAATTTTTCAACAGAAATACATAATAAAGATTTTCACTACACTCATCTAATGGCTGGTTTTGTATAAACATCAACTATAACATTACCACTTTCTTTTGATAATTCAGATCTTGAACTATTATTATTTCCAGATCTATTTCCTAATGAAAATAGTCACTTTTTTGATCAAAATGCATCACGTCTGATAATGATTTAATAAAATTAAAAATATATAGAAAATATATAAAATATCGTTTATTATGTATTGATTCAAGATTTTATTTACATCCTTATTGGCCATATTACTCATACTTAAGATCAGAAAAGTTATGAAATTATCAAAATACAATGTGTCTTTAGCATTAAAAAGAATCAGATAAAATATATCATTTACCAACAGCTTCTGAACTTATTACACATAGTATATATTCAGGAAAATATATAATTGATTAAATAAAAATAACTATATTACCATCATTTATACGAACAGAAAATACATATTTTAATGAAAAACTTTTACATGTAAATGCTATGATGAAAAGAATATAAATTACCATCACTTTTTATTACCTTAATTGCAGTAGAATCTAAATGGACTCACTTAAAAGAGATATTAAAATCAACAGATAAAAAAAATACAATATCAACAAATAGACTATTAGATATAGCTCTGTATTTTATACATCGCAAAAAAGAAATTTAGAATCATATTTGGAAAAAACCTGCAAATAGCAATTGGAATCATCTTAATCATTTTCTTGAACATGTAGAATTTCAAAATAGAGAAGCACTACATACACATTCAATACTTTGGATTGAAAAAAGTATAACAGGAATGATAGCAGAAAATCTAATTAGATCTGATTTACCAAATCAAAACTTTGAATCAGAACTTTACCAATTAGTATTAACACATCAAATTCATATATGTAATCCTAGAAAGTGTGATGGATCAACACCCCCAGGTTAAATATGCAAAAAAAACCTTTCTCATTATATTCTCCAATTACATATTATAATACTAAAAATCTAGATATATATATTAATGTATAACTGAAAAAGATAGATAGGTAGTTCCTTACCATCTATCTACACTTTTATTATGGAATGCTCACATGAATATACAATATGTGAGTACTAAAAATCTTGGTAAATATTTAACCAAATATGTTATTAAATCAGAACCTTCATATGTATTTAATATATCAGAAGGTGAGAAATATTGTGAGTATATAATTGCTTAACGATTAAGTTCAATAGAATATATGTTTTTATTACTTGGTAAAATAATATGCAAATCATCAGTAAAAGTAAAATACCTACCTACTGAACTACTAATGACTCATTTACGTGTAATAAGACCAATATTAACAATATTAGAAAATGATGATGATCCATATTGAAAAGATACAATTGAAAAATATTTTGCACATCCATATGATAAATAATTTGATAATATAACTTATCCTAATTATTTTAAAAATTATATATTATCAACCAAAAAACCTTTAAATAATGAAATTTACAGAGATGATTTAAACAATTATGTTGTTCAAAGAACATTTCTATTAATTATATGTTACAGACAACTTAAATTTCAGAATGGAGAATTATATTTTATCAACAATTACTTCTAACAATACCTTGCAGATCAGAAGATAAATTACTTGGTAATTTTATATCTTATCAAGAAAAATATTTAAATTTACATCCAAATTTTCAAAATTCAATTCAAAATTCTACAAATATAACAGTAGAAAAAATAGATATTCATTACAAAATCAATTTAACATAATTATAACTAACATATTAGAAAATCTTGAAGGCAAAATTATTTCACAAATATCAAAAATTCTTTAACAAACAATTAGATAATTTAAAATTAATATCATCAACATTTTTACCAAATGCAATGTTAAACTTACCAGAAGAACAATACATTGTATATAATACAATTATATCTACTCTTGGACCAATATTACAATCTAAAAAATATTTATTTTTCTTTATTACAGGATCTGGTGGAACTGGAAAATCATACTTAACAAAATTAATTATTGATTGGATAAAATCAGAAAGAAAAACTTATCATTTAATAGTACTAACAAGAATAGCTACACAAAATGTTAGAGGATTTACTATTCATTTTGCATTTAGAATAGTACAACAAAATCAGGTAGTATTTCGCAAAATCAGATTGAATTGGATTTGAATAAAATCTGATCTGATCCGATTTTCATTTTTCAGGATCTGAATCTGATCCGAATCTGATGGATTCGTTAAAATTCAGATCCGATCCGAATCTGACAGATCAAATCTCAAATCCAGATCCGATAGATCAGTTTAAATTCAAATCTGATCTGGATCCGAAATTTTATTGAAAAATGATTTTTCGGCTCTAAAAGAGTTCTGAAAAGTCGTTCCTTTACAATGAAAGGAACCTTTTCGGCTCTAAAAGAGTTCTGAAAAGTCATTCCTTTATAATGAAAGGAACCTTTTCAGCTCTAAAAGAGTTCTGAAAAGTTGTTCCTTTTTAATAAAAGGAAACGAATTTTCGGTTCTAAGAGATCCGAAAATTTTTTCTTTCAATGAAAGGAATCTTTTTGGCTCTAAAAGAGTTTCAAAAAGTCATTTCTTTACAATGAAAGGAACCTTTTCAGCTCTAAAAGAGTTCCAAAAAGTCGTTCCTTTACAATGAAGGGAACCTTTTCGGCTCTAAAAGAGTTCCAAAAAGTCGTTCCTTTATAATGAAAGGAACTTTTCAGCTCTAAAAGAGTTCCGAAAAGTCATTCCTTTACAATGAAAGGAACCTTTTCAGCTCTAAAAGAGTTTCAAAAAGTCGTTCCTTTTTAATGAAAGGAAATAAATTTTTGGTTCTAAGAGATCTGAAAATTTTTTCTTTCAATGAAAGGAACCTTTTCGGCTCTAAAAGAGTTTCGAAAAGTCATTCCTTTACAATAAAGGAAACCTTTTCAGCTTTAAAAGAGTTCTGAAAAGTTGTTCCTTTTTAATGAAAGGAAACGAATTTTTGGTTCTAAGAGATCCGAAAATTTTTTCTTTCAATAAAAGGAACCTTTTTGGCTCTAAAAGAGTTCCAACAAGTCATTCCTTTACAATGAAGGGAACCTTTTCAACTCTAAAAGAGTTCCAAAAAGTCATTCCTTTACAATGAAGGAAACCTTTTCGGCTCTAAAAGAGTTCTGAAAAGTCGTTCCTTTACAATGAAGGGAACCTTTTTGGCTCTAAAAGAGTTCCAAAAAGTCGTTCCTTTACAATGAAGGAAACCTTTTCTGCTCTAAAAAAGTTCTAAAAAGTCGTTCCTTTACAATGAAAGGAACCTTTTCTGCTCTAAAAAAACTCCGAATTCTTATTTTCAGTTCTAAGGTTTAATCTAATTTAATAAAATTTTATGCAATATAAAATAATTAAATTTTATTTCATAAATTTTATGATTATAAATATAAAAATAAATAAATAAATACATAAATAAATAAAAAAAATATATATAAAAAATATAAAAATAAAAAT